GCTGTAAGACGATCTGGACGAGTATCAAGATAAATAATGTTAAAGGTTGCTGCCTTGCTGCCAAAGTTTCTACTTATCCATGAAATAATCAAAGTACATTTAGTGTATAGCCCTGTCTATTTATAAATATAATTTTTTTATGTTTCATTTACATGTACTGTACTATAATGTTGTGGTCTTAAGCTACAATAGTGCTGAACAACACGTCATTATCACGAAGTCTCGATACTTTTAAGATACCTTCATGAAATCGTAAAAATGAATGATCTCTGATTCGTTTATAATATTTATACTATACATAAAAAAGAAAGCTAGCTAAAAACCTGAAGTAACTCTAACTATACACTGGCATGATTTGTCAGCTATAAAGTTATCATGAGGTTCACAGTAAATTATTCAGCTGAGCTCCCAAATATTGTTAAGTCATATTATTTACCTTTTACATGAGTTATGTTGGAGTCAAACAATTGTAATGAGCCATTACCGAATAACTACCAACTACCACACTTGATTGCGTTCTCTAGCAAAATCGCATCTCATTCTATTAATCTGGATACAGGAAATCATATATCATCCGGAGATGATCCAACTATGATGTTTATTCTCGTCTTTAATGAGGTTAAAAGCCATTGCTTGTCCATTTTGTCACGGTTAAAATAGAATATTAATGGTCTACCATTCTGTACAATATAGTTTAAATCCAGCAGAAAATGACTGTTTAAAAAACTCAAACTCTTGGATGAATTCGTTATCGAAAATATTGTGGCTCTTCCTAATTTTAAGTGGTTATTTGTGATGATAATTTGCTTAAGCTGGTGCTTCTGTTCAAGGAAACATATTAGGTATACCATTCCCATTTTAAATAATAAATGTTTTCTCTTTGGGAGAAAATATGTAAACGAGACACCATACTTTCTTTTAAATTTAAGAATATATGCTGCAATTCATGGTAAGACACTAATATGATAAAGACCCATACCTTCCTTTTCTTTCTTGTCCCTCACGCATTTAACCCAATATCCTAATTAATTTTGCTTAGTAATTTTGTTGTTGTTATGCAGAAGATTATGTTTAGTTATAAGTTCATATGTATTTATGCAGTTTATTTTTGGGTTAATAAAGCACTTTTTCATTTCATTCATTTCATTTCATTCATTTAACCCAATATCCAAGTAAAAACTTTTAAGATTCGTGTTGATGAATCACCCTTAACAATCCTCCATCTATGCTAAAAACCACTCAGAAACAGATCTCGTCGTAACAATTGTCTCAAAAACAGGATTTTCCACGGTGTCGAAACTCTCGTATCAACATAGCAACAATGTGAACGACAGCTCAACAATGTCATATAATCGCAGCTAAACCAGCTGATGCCGTTGTATCAACAGAAGTTGCATTGCATTAAGGTAATCGTCGGAAGAAAACACTGCTTCAAGGCCACCACCCATGACTCAGTATCACCTACTGGAGACGATTATACTTGAACTTTGCTTGATCCGTGAATACCTTCCGTGACGCCTGCGCAAACCGATTTGTAAACTCGGTAGAGAGGTCACTTAAGAAGTTAGTGGGTGTCTACATTTCCGGAGAGATGATAAAAAAAGAAGAGGTCGCTTCTACAATGCTATTGTTTTGTTTCTTATCTACGCCAGTTGAATTTTGCATGAAGGAATCGAATGAAATGTCGAAAACCATCAAATCGTTGTGGATGCACCTCCGGCACTCATCCTCTGTCGAAGTTCGAGAGGCAAACAACCTACATTAAAATTTTTAAGTGATCAAATGGGTCGTGTTTTCATACAGTGTGTACTACCGGGATATCGTAACAGGTGTCTGATTGTGTTCACTAATAAATGATTACACTAGATTTAAGATCACACTAAACTTTGAGCTATTGAGAGTGTATTAATGTGTGATAAATGAGATGTCTCTTTACACAGAGCTCTGATAAGTGTCAACTATTGCCAAAACAAATCCGTTTGATTGGGAAGTCGCTTATTACAAATCTAATAGGGGTGTAAGTAAAAGAAAATGCAACAGAACGAGAGGACATTTAATAATACGCTGATAGCTGTGTACTACGCTTGAACGACTCCGGCTCAACAATAGGATTTTGATAGATTTCAAAGAAACAGTGCTAACGGTTGTTTACCAAATCAATTGCTACGCGGTTAGTTACTTTTTACAATGACGGGTGTCTAAATTGAAGGATTAAGAGTATAACATTTTTTCCCACACAAACACAACAAATGTTGAATCATTGTCCACGCATTGAACCGCATTGAACTAAGGATACAAAATATCGTTGCACTAATAAATAATTGTATGGCTTATTGGAAACTGAAAAAATCATTCACTTGGTGACCTACCCGGTTCTAAATTATTTGGGTACCATGCATATTGTCTATTCACAGCTTGCACTGCTAATATATACCAGAATAGTTTGATAACTCTTACAATCCCTCCTCATTTTAAGTGTTTATTGTTTAATTTGACTACACTGAGATGAGTTTATTTTTGTTATTGTAAGCTTTATCCTTTATCCTATAACATGACTAAGACGGGTGGCGTCGTCCTGTAATCTAGCTACTAGGAGGTCACGAATTGTGGATATGTGTAGGCATGCACTGTGGATGCGATACTCCCTGGTGTGGATTAACGACCTCACGGGTGAGTACTACGACTATCCGCAGTACTATCCTAATAATTAGACCAATTCGTATATACCAAAGGCAAAAATGTGGTTCGGATTCCACTATAAACTGTAGGTCCTAGCTGTATGGGCTATTAATTACCAGCTGTGTCTAAGGAATATGTCGGCCTTAGTCACTAACGAGCTCGTAATAAACACAAGATTTGTCCTACCAACATAACTTAACAACACACAGATTAACTTTAGATTTATATAAAATGTCAATTAGGTTATGTTTGCTTTTTATGGTTATGTTATTTGCGTACCGGATCCCCAGCTGAGGTTAGTGTAGAAATGCAGTGAAATCAGCTGATTAGAGAGCTGGAATTATCCATTCCCACTCTATAGCGGCAATGATCTATTTTGCGTACTGTTTACATGTATTTCATAATTTCCATGCAGTTGTAGAACCAAAATAAAATAACGAAAATGTTTAATAATCAGAGGGCACTATACATACCGGGCCAATTTGTGGTCAATTCACTAGCCCGACTTTTTCATTAAAAACAGATGAATGGATTTACCATTGCAATGATTCACTCCAGGATGGGTAATTTAAGGTTAGGATGAGTGTTATAAATTACAGGATGTTCGCTCTAACCTCAGCTAATTTCTTATCTGGAATCATTTACGTAAAGCCTAATCATTAATGCTGGGTTCTGGAAATGAGTGGTCAATTTTGTCCTACCGACGTTGTCTTTGTGTTTTTTTTTTCAACCGCCATCTTGGAACACATTTTAAATGACAATGATTATGACAAATATTTCCAATTTTTTCTTTAGTAAACAAAAGAATCATGCAGGGGTCCCTTTGAATATATTTTTACGGTTGTCCAAAAATACTTTGTTCACGAATCCACATGTAAGTATAAAATAATATAAATGAAAGTTTATAATATTTTTTAACACAAAATAATTGGTTAATATTATGTCCTATTTAAATAAACACCACCATGTATCTGATCAATGTGTAAAATTTTTTTTGTTATTTCATCTCACACACACAAAAATAATGGTAAATAAACTGTATTGACAGTTTATTTTGTTTTCTTAATGTTTCTTAATGTAAAACGTGTACTTTTTCCTACAATCTATGACAATCTTTGTACTCTAGTGTTTTTTCTCTGGTGTTTTTTTATCGACGATTATTGGTTTTAAATTGTCTAATACTGTTTCACTACTTAAATTGTAAATTGTTTGGAAATATTCCTCTTTTCCTAATTTTCAGGTTTCAGGAACAATCCTTTATTATGTCCAAGGTTGAGTTGAGTCGTGTTGTTAATTATAACACAAACAATTTACAGTGAGGTCGCGTAATCTTGGAGGTCTAATTAATTGCGTGTAATCGAGTTAATTGAAAGTTATTTTTGATTTGACACACACAATAATAAAACGTGTGTGTCAATGTATCGGGAATACTTCCTTCAAAGTTACTCCTTTTGCTGCTAAACTCGAAGATTTTGTTGCATTTAAAACATTTTTAAAGCTATGTTTGTAGGTATTATATTTTTTGTGTTATAATTACATATAAAATAGTCGAATAACAAACATTTTAATCTCCGTAATCGATTTATTGTTGAAGGTGAGATCAGTAAAGCCCTATTGATAAAATTATAAATTATAATTACAGTCATTATTAACACTTGTTTAAATGTGTTGTAAGTGAATGCTTCTAAAATTGGTATTGTGCATGTACAATTACATTTACCGTACAACAAAGGTGTAATGTGTAATACAATCCTATCGTAAATTTCATTATGTATAACAATACAATTTTAAAACAGAATAATCAAAATTATTTTAATTAAAAATAAATACAACTAAGATATAAATAAACCTATGTTTTAATTTAGGAGTTCACGCAATAGGGCTGCTGATATATTGAATTATTGTAGCAAATAAAGTACAACTGAGCACCCTGAATACTATTATAAAAAATAAAAATATATATATAGTATTCAGGGTGATCAGTTGTACTTTATTTACTACAATAATTTAAAATAAACCTATATCGTTATTGTCATGTATTGTCATTGTAAAAAACTGGGATTTAATATTCACTTGTGTTGGCTAAAACAAAAATATATAATTAGTGTAAGTATACACAGTATTTATTTTTACTGTACAACTAACCTATCGAACAACCTATTTTTCAATTTGTAATATATATATACCACAATTAATTAAAAAAAAATATAGAAATTAAAACTAATTAAGTATTTGAAACCAACATAACTTATAATTTAACTCAACTACAATAGGCCTACCCTTTAACTAAGTTACTCATAGAAAATAGATCACTATGTTACCTGGATATCAGCGACTCCTTGGTAGACCACTCCACACTACGACCGGACAGTAACTGCCAACTGCTACGGCGAGGTAGAGGTTGCTGAGCCACCGGGGCTGAGCCCCCCACCACCACCGCGACCTGATAAGAGATAACAGAGGGATTCAGGTGCGGAGGAAATCGCCGCGTATCCCATTATTGATAACAGGTTACACTGAATAACAAGTGTTGATTTCCGCCATTGAATATGTTTAAATGTGAATATGCTCGGTTATGGAGGGATGGGTTCGAATATTGTAAAAGGCAGTAGAAATTGTGATGCTAACTAAACTTATTAGGGTCCACCTCCATTTTAGCGAATTTCCCATATAGGGAATAAGCTATTACCGTAGTACTCATGGTAAGACCTGGACGCGGGACCGATTTTTTTTTCGTTTTGAGGTCCCCAGAGGCCAAAAACACCATCCGTTCAAATTCATATATATATATATATATATTTATATATATATATATTTATATATATATATATATTTATATATATATGTGTGTGTCCGTCAGCACGATAACTCGAGCAAAAATGATCCGATTTTGATTAAAATTGGTACAAACGTGTAAAAGTACGTTTATTCGAACGAGTTCTCGATCCAGCATGATCGGACCATGGGAACGGGGGTTTACGGGGGGTTTTATGGGGTAAAAATAGGTTTTTCCTATTTTTGACCCAAAAAACATCAAATTTAGCAATTTCTTTCCAAACCATTTTGTAGAGCTTAAAAAACAAATAATTTAGTATAATGAAGCGTTATTATGCGCCTAATGGTTACGGAGAAAATTCCAAAAAATTGTAAATTTAAAATTCCCATGTTATTCTTATGCAGAATAAGTAAACTGTTGTAGTTTGCTTGTTTGTGAACATATTTTGATCAAATTTGGAAAAGTTTTTATTTCTTACTAACTATCTAGGCCTACACATTTTACAAAAAAAATCAGTTTTACCCTCCCTGATGCAGCAAACCTAAGTACTTGTTAAACTAATTCTATTTAAATCAAGAATAAATGTTATATTTTTAAGTAGACATTTCAGTGTAAATCCAATCAGTCAAATGGAAATTCGCTTAGTCTGCAGGTTTGCTGCGGCGGGGGTATTAATAAGTTTCCAGGTTTTCTCCGAAAAACTTTGTAGATTTTCTCAAGCCCTGTATTTATCACTGAAATGTAGAGTAAATCCAAATAATTTACAACAGCAGCATTATTCGAGCTGGTCTAGTGGTAGAGCGCGGGACTTCGGTCCCTAAGGTCTTGGGTTCAAATCCCACCAAACCAATGGATTTTATCCGAGTGATAATGCCGCAACCCCTAGGTCTATCCTGAAGTAATGTGAAAAGCGATCCCGGGCTAGAGACTAGCGTCCAATAGCGAGCCCTCTGATATTGCAAATGTTTTACAAAGAATGTGTTTTATTCCACAAATAATGCGGTTTAAATGAATAGATAATTGCACGAGGTAGTATAATTTTTAAACTACCATAAATTAGCGTCATGTACAGTTTTTTTTTTCTGTTCTAGGTTTATTACATAACTCAGTAAACTTCGTTTAAAATGTACCGACACAAAATATTTGTTAATAGTAGTGACCCTCTTTGTTTCTAAAAGTGTCTCCTTCGTCAACTTCATCTAAACATATAAAAGTGAAAGCACTCACTGACTCATAACTAATCCTCCAACTTCCAGACTAGCTTGAAGACATTTGGTATACTTACAGATAAGTAATATAAATATTTGATATTACTTCATATATATTATGATTTTATATTACAGTACTTCATTTATATTTCTTCTCTGTGGTACACACATTATTCAGGTCAAAAATAGGAAAGTTAAAAAGTTTTCATGATGATTTTTATCAAAGGGAGGCGTCCTACAAGCCGTAAAGCTTAAAGTTACAGTGTTATTCTTATGGACATTCAATTTTTACCATTATTTGTTTATCATATACCATCTCTTACAATCTTTTTTATTTAAAATATCTGTCTCAAAATGATTGTTTTTGTTTATTTTTTATTAATAACTAAAAAATATTCTAGGTTAAGGTGTTTTGTAAGACCATAAACTTCTTAAAGTGTTGTGTGCTTGGTTACTAAGGCTTTTATTGCTTCTATTTGACACTATAGCTTATTTTGTGTTTAATATGTGTAATTCTTTTTTCTTTCTTTTAAAAATATGTAGGCCCTATCTTAGATTTTTACTTAATGGACAAAGTACCTTCAACTTTTTGGTTGTGTTTGGATGCCTCCTCATATGGGAAAAGGCTCATGCCTTCTTTATGTAATCGGACAGTTGATCTATGGAATGTATCTCAACGTACTTGGTACAATAAGTACGCCAGTCAAAGAGATTGGCTATATTTGAACGACTTTTAAAGACTTAGATCATGGACACACAGTGATACCGGATGAAACTATGTTATTACCAATCATTACAAGCAAGAAATTCTAGGGCCAGCGACCACATAATTAAAATTGTTTAATTCTGTGGTCGCTGGCTTGGGCCGACAATATACGGTACAACAATTAAATTGATTTTCTAAACTGTTTGCTGTTGGTTCAAAGTGACAATGTCTCCCTGACCAATGTTTGTGATCAATCCAATATTTTAAAATAGAAAGGCAAAGGCAAGTGCTGTGATATGGTAGCGGAAAAGTGCCTTACATACCGTCTTAGTAAACTTATGGAATCCCCGCCTAGCCAAATACAACGGTGCTTTCAATATTTCTTCGTTTAGGAGAAAACCAATTGTTGAAAGCAACTTCATGTCTTCCCTGGAAAATTAGATAGCACAGTGTTTAAAAACAAAAGTTTCGGCAATTCTTTGCACAGTTCCTTCACGTTGAAGCTAAATTATATCTTTATTTTGTCCTACTTTGACAATTATTTAAATATTTTGATGCATTTTTCAATGAATAAATCAAATAATTAGTCATTTTAAGTAGGTACCTAAGAAAGTATGTACGTAGACAATTTCTTGTCATTTTTTTATGTATGTTTTCGTAAAAAAATAAGCCATTAAAATCAGACAAACATTTTCAGGATTAATTCAATTCACGGAAGTCCATTTCAGTAGGATTCTTAATTTGTGCTACTAGATCGGAAAACGTCGTACTGTATCAAACACATTACACTATCATATGTTAACAATTGGATGAGAAAAAATAAATTGTGCCCCATTCCCCTGCAATATAACTCCGCTATGGTTTTGTTGGTATTTCAAAGTACTAATCACAAATTTTAAAGCTAAGTTATATTTGAAATTTGATGAATTTTTATTCTACAAAAGTATGTCCGAGTGAAGAGCGGGCCAAAGAGATAGTAATAATATAATCAATATAAACACATTATAATTCAATTCGTTTATAGCCACTAGAAGTTTACAGACTGATGTAATTTTAAACTAAAGTTTTAGACATTGTATTACTTAAATTTCGTTTAAAAAAAACCAGATTTATCAAACTTAAGGACCATTGTGTAGCTTATTCGTTCAAGTTGAACTTTGAAATTAATAAACTAAAATAAACTGAAACCCTATTAGGCCTACTGTATATTTGTTCTGACAAAGTTAGTACTTTCTAACACTTAACCCGATTAAGAAAAAAATATTTTGTTTGTGACCTTTGTATGGTTGTAGTATAATTAATTGAAGTATAATTGGTTCAGGGATTTATAAAAAACCTGCCCCTAACTTACAAGTAGTAAACCCAACCTTTCTCAAGGTTTCATTCAAGTACTTAACAACTTTTTCCAAACCCACAGCCACCTTGATATCAAAGGACCCGGAAGATCAAAAGTGCCATAATGAGTTTTGAATGTTACTTGCAATCGAACATAGAGTAAGAACAGCTGATTGTGCCAACAATACAACAATCGAGCCTCTACAACTTTAATTGTCGAACCGTGTAGAACACGAAGGAAGTCGGAAGCCATTTGGGCGAAAGCAAGGACATCTCGGATCGTTTTAAAGGTGAAAGGTGTCAATGTTAATCTAAATTATCTTAATCTAAATGAATGTTTGTTGGCGTTTACACCATTAGACCTTGTATCGATGATAAGAAAATCTACTATCATTCAAGTTTGTTTTTCAGTGTAGAAACGCAAGCCATTCATGTTCGTGGTTTAAAATATGGTAGTGATTGCTCTGCGTGTTACGTTTAACTCTGTTCAGATTATAAACATTTGCCAAAGTGCTATTCGAGGTATGCAAAGTTAAAAATGGTAGACCTAATGGTTTATTAGAAAAAATATGCATAATAATAGACTTGGTACATTCCTAAAATAAACTATGTGTCTGCTTGATCTATTCAACTCATTTCTCACACAGGCCTTCTAGATTACCCTTTATGTAGAGTGTATTTTAGTTCTGTTTAAATCATGAGTCCCAGAAGTGTACAAAAGTAAAAATCTAACTGAAAATGCTTTAAACTTTTTTATTAATACGTTGGCATTGCCATGATGTCTTTGGTTGCCATAACTGTTAGTTTAGAATAACAATTAAGCATAAGAATAATAATGCATAGTTATAAAACAATCCACCAACACTAGCTAATCACAAATGCTATTCCAAAATCAATTACATTCGGATGAATGTCATTGAGTAAAGACTTCGCTAGGTATAATGGGATAATACCACTGATCAAATAGGGCATACATTCAGTAGGGCGTTATAATAGATCTTTTAGGTATATGATGCGTCAAATCTAACATCTATCTATCTAATAATCTTATTGGGTTAAATTTTGGACGGTAAATGACAAAACACAATTTGCAAGGTAAAGTGAACTGGCGAGTGGATGTGAAAGAGTGAATTTGAACAACAGTGTATAAAAACAAGCGATTAAGAAGGTGGAACGACCGAAATCCTTTGCTGGGCCGTATTTGGAGCATTAGCGATTAACAATAAGTTAAAAACTTTCACCAATGCTATGGTTTGGACAAACATAACATTTGGACAAACAATATGTTTACCAGCTATCCTGATACATTCGAAAATGTAGTTAGATTTAAATATATATTATGG